TTGTTCCAAATTGGTTTAACGAAGCTTATTTGCCATAAATGATTTGTTACACGCAAGTAGCGAAATCTATCCTTTTGTTTTTTATATGGCGTGTGGGGGGATGATTTTCATAAAAAATATCAAATTTTAGAAAAAAAAATTTTTTTATTTTTTTATTTTTTAATGTTATTACTGCTCCATAAACCTAAATAGGCAGTCGGAACATTCAGGGCTTCGCCCTGATACGAGCAGTCTTGTTTAAATTTGTACCTCTTCACTTTCATATTTGAACAGTTGTTTTTTTTTCGAATTAATAGTGATGCTGTTTTTGTTTTATAAGCTGGTTTGCGATGTTGACTACCATTTTAGATGATAGCTATTCTGAATATGCATACATATTTTTGCGAAAGCGTTTATTTGAACATTGATTGTATGCTGTTTTCATTTTGAACAATGACTCTAACTTTGTCACAATGCAAAAAATCTTGGATTGAATCTTGGAAAGAAACTAACGATCCTGATCAACTAGTAAAACTTTGCTCACATTATCGGATTGTTATCGGAATTGCTATGCGGACTAATTAAGATATGAAAAACATATTTGAGTTTCATTTTTAACCTTGTAAATCCCCTCGTTACAACATAAAATTGATGCATATGTGAGGCTGGGGGAAAATTTTATTCTTCATACCTTAAATCGTAACATTACGCGTTTAACCTCGATAAGACGTAAGATAAATAGTAGAAAAGAAAAAAGGGTTCTTTTTCTTTTTCCCTCAATCTCATACGAGCTTCAATTTTTTAGTGTAACGAGTGGTTTTACGAGGTTGAGTATGGAAACCAAATATGTTTGTCGTGGCCTTATTAGTCCGTATGTAAATTTTCATAGCAATCGGATCATGTGGTCAACAAGTTTACATGTAGAAAACTGCAGGTGGAGGGAAAAGAAAAAAATCCGAAAAATAATAAAAGGAGGAGAAAGTGGAACAGATCAAAAATTTGAAATGCCACAAGCGTTATATCCAGTTCTGAACCGATGTCAGCTCACCCCAAAAAGAGGGGGTTTTTCCTATTACAACGCCTATATCGTACCCTAGTCCCACGTGAACACACAGCACACCCACAAATTCACGCAAGAACACTCACGCAAGAACACTCACACGCCAACATACACGCTGTAGTTTTACTTGTTGGATGGAGGAGCGTTCGTGAGAAAAGCCAAAACAAAAATTGGCGATCATTTTCCTTTACCCCCAACTGCAAAACTTTACCAATAAACTTGATGTTTACTTTACCCGATTGTTACAAAAACTGGCATGCAGAGAAATTAGGCCAAACTTATTCGGTCATCAAATTTTTCCTTGCAAAACTTCTCGTTAAACCATTAAACTGATAATTGTGTGAGGCAGTGGGAAAAGAAAAACAGCTTAAAGTTCTGATGCAATAGCTCCTAAAACTTTTCAATCAAATCCCTCGCCAAGTTGCTTGTTTGACTGTGCTAAAATTGGCTTCCGGGCTAACTATACTCAAACGAGCCAAAAAAACTGTATTTAAAAATAGTGCAGGTTTTTGTATGTATTTCTGCGGAGCCCACTGTTTGTATGAATATTCCGCAAACTAATAGCGGATTCCACGAAGTTTTGGTAAATTCCGCAAAATTTGTCGAAAAGTTTCCAAATTTTGCAGATTGAACAGGTCTTTAGAGCTGCAATAACTTAAGCCATTTGTCTCTGGAATCCAAAAAAGCAAAAACAATCAATCCAAACAACGTAGCATCTTTGCAGTTTTTAGGACTAAAATGGCTGGACACGTTTTAGTCCTGGAATCTGAAACGAGGGTACATTTTTTCTTCGATCTTTTTGCTTTTGTGGATTTGAGAGACAAATGGCTGAAATTAGCGCAGCTCTAAAGGCCTGTTCAATCAGCAAAGTTTGGAAATTTTTTGAAAAATTTTGCAGAATTCACCAAAATTTCGCGGAATCCATGTAGGGGTATACAAGATGTTGAAACCAAGTGGGTGCATTTTGTTGTATTTCAAATTGCAGCTCAGAATATCTAAGAAATATATATATACTTTTTTCGGTAGAACAGGTTTTGTTTGACAGGTTGTTTTGCAAATTGCAGCTCAGGATATCTAAAAAAAAATTTTTAATAATCTTTTGTCAGTAGAACTTCAAAAAATGATACCAAAAATCAAAAAATCCCAAAAAATTCCAAAAAGTAATTAGGGGCCTATTAATTTTACTCCAAGGAAATTCTCCAATTTTTTGTCAGTAAATGTCAGAATCTAGCGGTGTAGCATAATAATACCCTCTCTATATGGGCTTTCAATGCCATTTTTTCCTGCAAAACTTATTTGCATTATGACAACGTTAGCCTGAAACCCCCAAGCCTTGTCTTAAATTCTTTGTAGCCCCAACACAGCAAGACTATTTTAAAATGGGAATATAAACACTTGGTGGTGGTTTATTTGAATCAGACCAATTTAAGCAATTGAAATAAAATCAAATGTGAAAAAATATCTAACCTGCAAAGTTTTGTAAAATTTGAAATGTTCGAAAAATTGGGTGTTTGAAAAATGACTCTTGAGAAAGTCACAATTCAATATCGTGGTAATTCGGTTCTTCTGCGTTTTGTTTTCTACATTCAGAATTATCCATATTTATAGTCATTGTTCCGACCATCGAATATGTGTAGGAACTTTCTCCTCTTCGAGTGTGTTTCATTTTTTTCACTTAAAATGAGGTACCATGGCTTCATCAGAATGGGTCGAGTGCTATATCATACTAAACTTGTTTTACTCGTTATTTCAATGACATTAAAATTGCGTAAAAATTGTCCCATTGTTGGGAAAATTTTCAAGAAAGTTTGAAAAATTGAAAATCCAAGGCTTGTAATTTTTGCGGTTTAGTCCAATTCGAAGGAAAAAAGCAATCGAGTAACGTTCCTTATATGAAATTTGATCAAATAAGCTACAACAACCTGAATTTACTAGAAAAGACAGTATTTGTAGCAGTTTTGTTTAAGGCTTTACTGCTAAAAAAAACTCTGTTTAATTTGATTTTTTTTCTTGCTTTTTTTGAATTTTTCTACGATAACTAATTTCGGTTATGCCCAATTCACATTATTTTACGCGTTTGTTAAGTTCTCTCTTGAAAACACGCAAAGTCTCTTAATGTTCAAAATCCAGCAATTTGCAAAGCCAGTTTTACCATTTGAAACAAAAATGTTTTCTTAGGGCAAAATTTTTTCTAGTTGGATTACTTTTTTGAGTTCAATCAATTTATTTGATTTGTTTTTGCGCTAGAAGATCCAAATTTTACCACTTTGCTTTCGAAATAGCGCAAATTGGAAAATTTCCATTTGATGAAAACCTTACATATATTTTTTACTGTGTTAGTGTTTTAGGGACATTTACATTGAAAGATTTGATTTGTATTGAGTGAGGCTTTGACGCATATTTAAATTTTGTTGAGGACACTTAAGTTGATGTGGTGAAGCAGGAAGTTCGGTAGGTTTGAGTAGCCAAAGCGTGAGTGATCGAGACTGGGCCGGTCGTTTCGACTTAGCGAGATTTCGATTGACGAGGTTCATTGGCGGTTTTTAGTAAACTATTTGGGTATGAGGACTGTTTAAAGTATGGGGAACTGATAAGGGTGTTAGTAATTTATTTGTAAAAGTATCGGATGCTAATTTGTTTACGTCGTCATAAGTCATGTCGAAAGAGTTCTGGTAGTTCTATTTTTCTAGCTCCTTCTCTGCGCATTTATTTTCAGTCCAACATTTATGTTTTTCAGTCAATTTTCGCCGATCGAAATAATAAATTTCAACAAAGTTTTTTTTATACCCCATTGATGATATCGACTTCCTGAATTCAAATTTAAAAAGATATTTTACCTCCAATTATTTTTTGGAAAGTTCTGGGGGCTTGAAAAGATCGACAAAATTTGTGGAAGTTTTTTGAAAATCTCTCCCTCTTGGAAAAAGTCTAGATCCGCCTCTGTCTAAAAGCAACATAACATTTTTCTCAAATTTTTGTCTGCGTACCCTTGTAAATTAATTGATTTTTTACTACACAAAATAAACTTGATTGACTGAAATACGCATGTTATAGTATCATTGAAATCCCCTCCCTCGATAAATACTTTAGCTTTGCAGATACTTAAAATTTTAATTGTTCAAATATCAACATATCTGGGTTCATATTACTGAGAGTATTGTGCACAACTTAGTTTATCTTAATCCTTCCAAACTATTGCAACCAAAGTATCTTTTGAAATAACATATCTCTTTCTCATCCAGAGTAAATTTAAGAATTTAAAAAAATATGAAGATATTCATCAGTATTTAATGATTTGTTTCTTATGTTTGTTTTTAATTGAGACTTTTAAAAGTAAAATCTAGGGTTATTAAAATAAAAACATTCTCAAATACATTATAAAAAAATTTTGCTTAAATTTCTACTAGTCTAAATTTTAACGTGAAACTAAAAACATCGAATGGTTTTGTGTGACTTAAGCTACTGCAAGATCCTTTGATCGACTTTGAAACAGAAAAAAAGTTTAAAAAAAGTGATTTGCTTGAAAAAGTTAATTAAAATAATTCTCTGTTTATGTTCCAAGTGTAGCTATTTGGGGAAAGATTGAATGAGTATCTATAGAATACTATTGCGTTATGTGTTGTTGTGTTTTGGGATATCAATAGATAGATGGATAGATCGGTTGGATGTTCGGCTGTGGCGGGCGGCGGCGGCGGCGGCGACCGTGGGTAAATTGATTAATCCCCGATTAGTTCTGCCAGAGTCGCCACCTGATGCGCTCCCATCTTCCCTCTACTCTCTTCCAATCACACACCTGGGATGAAAACAATCAGGGGCCCTTTAATTAACATCGGGCCACAAAGTCAGCAGTAAACAAGGTAAACAATTACTCCGTGGGCTCTTTTCTACGTAATTCCTAATGAAAATTGACCGATCCTCGGGGACTATTTGCCCTACTCGCTACCATTGTTTATGATATCACACACAATTATATGGACAAGTCTTCCTCCTTTTATGTCCTTAGTTTTGATCTTTTCATTCTAATTTGGACATCTTTCAGACTAAATTCTCACTGGATTTCTCCTCATTTTAACTCATATTCTTCTCATTTTAACTGGATTTCAAATTGAAACGCAGTCTGAAAATTTTGACATAATTAATCAGTTGAAAAAAAGAGCGTAGAAAACACGTCAAACATTAATTGATTAGCAATTTGCCTTTTCACCAACTTATTTGAATTATTACTGACCTGGAAAATTTGAGGTACTTTTCTTACTATTGTTAAACATTTTTACACAAAGAAAATCAGAGTAAGCGAAATTTTTTTGGAGTAATAAGGAATATATTTTAACTTTTTGTGTCTTATCATACTTTGTGTGGGCACTTGAACTTTGAACTTAAAACGTTCAATTATATTTAAGCTTATAATAATTGATCTAGAAAAACAATGGAGCTTCAAAAAGAATTTGTTTCTTTTAAATCCACCCACCCAAATTGCCAACTTTGTCACTTGAGAATTTTAAAGTCATGATGGAGTTTTTTGCTGTTAAGAACAAAGTTTGGATTTGCTCTGGGGTTTTTTGCCTCCCCGCCGATGCCAGATTGACGACCGAATCTGGGAACGAGCCAGAGTCATCTTCCAATAATCCCATTCCGATAATCTGTTTATGGTCTGAACTTATAATTAAAAGTACTTAACCAAATTCCCAACTTCAACACGGCTATCATTATAGTATTAAGAGAGACACTTTTGATACTTTTTAGTCTCATGTCAAAATAAATCAAAAATAATTCTGACTATCGGTTACAGCCAAAAATAAAAAATAATTCCAGTAATTTTCAAACAATCATTTTTCAAATAAGTAGGACAAATTTTAACAGCGTTTCTTTTAAAAATTGCTTTGACCTGATCAAATTTCAGCTTTCCTTTTAATTCTTTTTTTATCGCTGTGATCGAATATCAACTTAAGTAGAATTGCTTCATCAGTCTCAAATTGTCAAAACAGTGAATTTTTCCTAACTTTTCAGGACTCCTCAGAAGAGAACATTGTCGCTTTATAAGGGTTATTAATTTTTTTCACAGCCTCTCACAAAGCATATTTTGATGTCTATTAGCATTTTCAATTAACCAAAACAACTATAAAATTGCTGGATACTTCGGTTTAAATATTCAGTTTAAATATTCTTCTGTTCCAGTCGAAGGAGCTTCATTCATTCGAGAACTTTCGGGAACTTAGACGCACGAAAAAGGTGTATTTCGGGACTTGTCAAATTCTACGTTTCAACCAACTGATTTGGTGCCGACCAATTTTTCAAAGATGAAGCTAGAAACCAGCAGTAAGTATTAATTAAACTACTTTTTGTAGCATCATTCATCAGTAGCATGTGTAGGGTGGTGAGAAGACGCTATTTCTCCCCCCCCCCTCCCGGGGGAATCGACCCCCTAGCCGCCCAAAAGGTCTTCCTTTGATTCTATTTCAAAATGTCCATTTTTGGCTGACTGAATCGAAAAATGTGGCTGACTGACCCTGAAAAGATCGGCCAATTTCGTCGGGAACGCGCGCCAAAACAACGCAATTTTTGGCCAACACTATGCAAAAAGTACCTTAAAACGTCTATTTTGTCCTCTTATTTCAAAAATTTATATGCAGCATAGAAAATGTGGTCTAAATAGGGTCGAAAACCAATTTGGTCGACCTAGCAAAAACATCGACAAAATTTTTGAAAAAGATTTGAAAATCTCCCCGTTTCAGAAAGTCTTATAACCGCTCCCTCCAAGTCATATTGAGCTGAATTCCTTTTATATATAGGTTTGAATAGTAAAAAATGAAATGAATCAATCTTGTTTGTTTGTGTTGTAGGAGCTACGTATTTGATGCCTCTATCGAACGGCGAAGAGAGTATTGGAGGCTACATGCAGCAACATACGAACCCCCAGATTTTTCACCCCCACCCACATCTCAACAATCAATCCCACCATTTCCTCTACGAGTCCTCCGCCGACTCAGTCCTCGTAGAAATACCCGAGTTACGTCACCAAAACGAGCACCAACACCACTCACATAACAGATCCTACTTCTCGTCACAAGTTTCCAAGTTCGCAGACCCAGACTTTTCTATATTGCATAACCACGGTGGCGAAAATGACGTCACCAACTTGTTCGGACAATCTGACCCCAATTTCGACCAATCACAGAAGAGACACCCCCATTCGCAAACCAAGTCGCATGTGGGTGAAAAAATGTCCAATTGCGTCAGCGGAACCTCAGGGAAAGTCGCGAGGAAGTCGAGAAGGTCAAATAGCCCAACTGCGCTGATCAAAGAACTGACAGGAAGCGCTAGTCCTCTGACTAGTATTGACGAGATCGACAAGCGATATCTCGCGAATTTGAGCCGAGAAGAAAGACGTCGCATTCGTAGAGCAACTGTGAAATACAGAACGGCTCACTCATGCGTCTCGTGAACGGCTTCGCGTTGAGGCTTTCAGTATTGCTTTTACAGAATTAAGAAAACTTTTACCGACTCTTCCACACGACAAAAAGCTGTCCAAAATCGAAATTCTGAGATTGGCAATTGCTTATATCTCATATCTTGATCATCTTTTGGCTTCTACTTCTTGAATGTTCAAACTCTTCGGAAACAGAAAAATAGGGCCATTAAAATATATGTATATATTATGATATATTCTTTTATATAAATTTTGCAGTTTGAAAAAGTTTATTCTCCAAATTAATTTTAAAGAGATTTATCTGCGAGAGTAAGGTCCAACTTACGAGCTGTAACCGGTTTCTCACAACTCTTTTAATTTTTCGATACATAAACTCTGGTCTTAAAATAATTCGAAAAAAAAAACGGAAATTTTAAAAATCCTACTCCGTATACGATTGCTAGCCCCCCCCCCCTCAAACTTCATAAAAGTATCCCCCCCCCCCTCAAACTTCATAAAAGTATCTTCACGTAAAACGTCCATCAATTGCAACAAAGTTTTTTGACAATACTAATAGGCCGAGTTTCTTTTTTATATTTCTCTGACATAAATACAAAGTCTACCCGCATAACAGTTTCAACCGTTAATAATCGACTATAATATGATTTTACTACTAGTTTTTCTAAAACTGAGAAAAATTCATTATAATCAATGAACAATCGATTAAAACCTCTCTTTTTCATATTAAATTATCATCAAGTATAAGAAACTTTAATCCATAATAATCAGTTAGTATTCCATCTGTTTTTCTACACAATCAAAATCAATTAGATTTATCCTTTTGTTTTCATTTTCTTGCAATGAGATATTATCAACTTTTATTTATGATAGTCCTTTTTGCCCAATTTGTCTTCGATGTTGCATCTAAGTTACTTATAGTTAATGCTTTTAATAGACCTTAAGAATTAAGATATAATTAAGATATATTTTTGGCGTGACAATAAATCCTTAAGAATTAAGATATAATTAAGATATATTTTTGGCGTGACAATAAATTGGCGAAATAAGAGATCATAATTGATGAAAATTAAAAAAAGGATTTTTTGTTGGAACAATAAACGATCATCATTGAGATATTACAATCTTGTGGAATAATTCGCAATTATAATTGATAAAACTTCCCTTAAACACCTATTATTGTTTAATGTAATCATTTTCATTTGTCACTAAGTCTTCATATCATCCGTTCTAATCAATTACAAGGAACATAACTTGGTTGCGGGAAGTTCGCCGCTTTCATTTCAGTTCGTCGTAGACCGATGCAGAAACCAAAAAAATTATGTTGCCAATGCGTCATTCTTAAAAATTATTGAAACTTTGAATGATTTAAATGATTTCTACAAAATTTATTGAACAGTGATCGCAGATTGTATAGCTAAACAAAAATTCTCTTCTGACGCTATTTAGATATTTACGTTTTTTGAGCTTTTTTGCGAACTGAATAACTGATTAATTGTACTTGGGTGGCCTTTTCTTTATTTTCTAGTTCAATTTCGACTTGCTGGCATATAGTTTTTTTTAGAAATTGTAAATACAATCTGAAGGATGCTGACGCCTTGCGCTCAAAGTTGTCGCACTGTTTTGAGCATTTGAAAAAAAAATCAACGGCGGTTGCGATTTCCAAAAACTTGATTTTTTTTCCTAGAGTTTCAATGATATTCTTAATTCAACAACTGTATCATAGGTATCATAACAGACAATCGAAACATTCAGAGCTTTGTCCTGTTTTAGACAGTTTTCTAAACATGTTACAATCACACTTCTATCATACAATTTTTTGTGTTACAGTCTGGGTAGTTAAAGCACTCTTTCAGCTCAGTAACAGAAAAAAAAAAACAGGTATATCAGTGCCTAGAAATAAACAACGCTTTTTACCCAATAATTTTACTTTTGAGGGCGTTATTTTGCTTAAAAAAGGCCAACACTGGACAAAACCTAAAAATCATAGCCTCAGCACCGACAACTTTTTTGGTTAACTGAGAGTTTTTAAGGCCTATGCTGGTTTTGAGAAACCATGGATTAACAGTACAGATTCTGATTAGCAGCTTTGATTTCATTTAACCCAGTTTACGAAATTATTTACTAATTTGCTTTCTTCGATACATTAATTTAACTCAAAAAATAGCATTATCGAACTTCTTTATTGCAAAATTCAATTCCCTGAAAAACAGGTAGTGCTGTTTCCTGAGTTTTGTTGTTCCGACTTTCAAGTAAAGTCACCAAAAGTTTGCGCTCAGATAGTTTTTTCTACAATTTTTGGTTTTCGAACTTACAATTGGTGGTGCAGTTTTTTGTACCATCTGAAGGATGAGGAGGTCTTGAGCTCAACTGTATTACAGATTGTGAAAATTGCCAATTGAAGCTGAAAATATATCACCATAAAAACTTCGAAAAATTCAAAAGTTTCCTTGTTTCAAAACATTTAACCACTTTTTAAAGTCAAAACTGCTCCAGGAACCTTAACGGGCAATCAAAACATTCGAGACTTGATCCAACAATGCAATTACCATAGAGCTAAAACTATCTTATCAAAACTCATTATGAAAACATAAGAAGAAAATCGTGTTGCTGTGCACGTAGAACAGAATATTCATATTTCATCCGTTTATGCTCCATATCACACCAGAAAGCACAAAACTACGTTGGTATCAAGTAATCACCTCTTCAGTTTTTCCCAAACTTTTTTGAAAAATGTTTCGAGAAGTTAGTAGCGATAAATTTTTTCAGCGTTAGTATTCTCTTTCAAGTTGATGTAACACAGATAAAACCATGCAAAAATATAGCAAGTATCAATAAGCAAAACTCTATAAAAATAAAAATTAATTATTTTATGCAACGAACTGTTGTTTTACGCAAGCAAACCTAAACATTTTAATGACCATTTCGAATCCTTCAGTTTCATTGTGTTCAACAAAAGGGTTAAAGGCCAAAGTTTGGCTCTTTTCCAGTTCCCCCCCTTTCAAATTCAATTTTGAAAAGTCGTTTTAACGTTGTCATAATGCATTGAAATTTGGCGTGGTGAACAAATCGACAATTCTGAACATATTTGTTCTTCATACTTTACAGCGTAACATCACGCATTTAGCCGTAATAACACGTAAAACAAACATAAAACTAGGTATTTTGAAGGGGTGGGGGGGGGGGGGGGGGAACTGGAAAAGAGCCCAAAGTTTTAGCATAATTTTTTGGCTTGATAAAAATTTTTTTTTGTGTTTTATGGAAAATTATATAAACGTTCAGTCGAAAGAATTTGTGGAAATCATTCAATTTGAATCAATTTAGAAAAAATAATATATTAAGGGCCCGCGTTTCTTTCTTTGCAAAATCTTTCTTTTGCACCTTGTTGATAGTGGATTTGCTCAGCAATTTACGACAAAAAATGGGATGTAGAATTATCTAATGAAAAACATCATACGATAGATTCCTGATGTGCTCTCCAAAAAAATGTATTTTCTTTCTGTAGAAGTGGTTCTTGCGAAATTTCAAGTTCTCTTTTTCAAACATAGATACACCAAAATTTAATTTTGATATTTGTTTATACATGTTATAAACCAAAACTGATATAACCACTTAAAAATGTTGTGTATATCCTTTAAGTATACATAAGTTAAAAATTTGAAATTTTGTGTATCTATTTTTCAAATAGATTTTTCTAATGAGGCAAATATAAAGATAACTTTATAAATTTACTTTATAGAATATAAATTCAGTTGCCAATTTAGTTGCCTTGGTACAGTTTCAGGCAAAAATTTTAGAGTTTTATCTGAGGTAAAATTAGTTTTTTTTTAGTTTACTTAAAAAATATCAGATTCTTCGAAAAAACTACTTTCGATTGGGAGATCTGAAATCTTTTTTCTTCTTGAAATTGGGGCGTGAAAGGGGGATGAAGCTTCAACAGCAGTATGTCAAACAAGCTTTAAAACGAAACAACGATAGCGGGTTTTGCACAAGGGGTTTTTTTGGAAAATTTTTGAATGCTAAAAAAGCGCTACTTGAAGCTTCAAAAACTAGCTTCTTTTTAGTAATATCAAGTTTTTTAAGCTTAAACGACAAATTTCCAGGCTACTCAGTTGCTTTTTACTACTAAAAAATTTCACAACGTTTTTTTTGACACTGGGACCAATTTCTGAGAATTTTTACAGTTTTGCTCAATCACGATTGAATAGGTGTAAATAGGATATATCACTAGAATCATTCCGATGATTATTTATGATAGTTTTAGATTAAAAAAAAAGAAAAAAACTGAATCACACACAAAAACAAAAGTCCCAAAATTGCTTGTAAAAATGATTCAAAACAATTTAAATCCGCTGATATATAGCCTCAAATTTCAGGTAAAATCCAAGCAAACACTATCCCCCTTGATCTGCTTCAAAGATGATATGAATGCATATATACCAATGTGGATATTACCTGGAAAATAAACATGGAACCAACAGGCTCACTGCGGCTGACATTTCGTCAAAGGTGTGAAAAGTTGCAGTGATCTTGAAGTTGATGTTGACCTTGAAATTCGTCTGTGAAATCGTACGTCTGTCAAAGACAAACGCAGAAATAAAAATTACTGACTGAAAACTGTTGTTATGTTTTTACGCTCTTTTTTGGGTTTGCGGTCCAATTGCATCTGTCCTTGTTAATTCTTTTATGCGTAGGGTATAACCATCTGCTACGCATTAACTATTCGGCCATAAAACAAGGGAACAAGGGGTTGACTTGAGTTTGGTACCAAAAGAGTATTATTTGAACTAAAATGCAAAACACACTTTTCAACTGCACTAGCACAAAACAGTATTTCTTTCGATATTCATTTTAACCGCAACTTTAATACTCTGTTGATTTTAAAACTCATTTTACTGTGATGGCTACAAAAGTTATAAATAACTTCTGGATTTCGACTAATTATGATTTTCTATTCTCCGGAGGCCACGCGAAATGACTTAGGTTCCAGTAATAACTTAAGTGCAGCTTTTTTTTCTGTAATTTGAAAATGAAACTTAGTTTCTAAGTTTTCTAAAGTTTTTTGAAATTACGAGTAAATAGGAGTATAAAATTTTCTGCACGAAATAATTACTTTGCTTTCTATAAAAACTCATTTTTTCAATACTTCATTAAAGAAAAACAAGCGCATCTCAGGTATTACGCCAATTTCCGTACATTACCCTT